GCTATCGTTCCTTCCCTAGCAATGGTAGCGATCAGACCCGAAAGTCCCTCCATAAACGATTGTCATCCCCACTGAGACGCAACACTTTTGAACTCTGACTTTATTGTTGAACTAATCATATTAATCGTTCCACTGATCTTCCAAGAGATACCACTGAATTGTTTCCACCAATGGCCTATAACAACTTCCTGACCATCTGAATCCATCTCAACAAGACGTATCCCAATCATAACTCTAGGCATGCAAAAATGGCATATAACAATCCTCGATAATATAAACCAGAAAATTACATAGAACTAAACCAAAGATAATGATTACACATACCACCACATGATTCCAAAGAACATATATACGGATAATAACGCATGAAGAAAACAAAAGATAACATACCCACGATAGCATCTGATGAAACTCTGGCCTCCCCCGACTGACACGAAAATGCTCGGCTCCTCGCTGCTGGGTCTCTTTCCCTACCCTCACGACCGTTGGTGATCCTCAAAGTAACCAGAGCAGGTGCACTCACTGCTCCACCCCTCAACATCGAACAGTCGACCTTCTTATAGCCCACCTGGTTGCAGTGAAAACACATCGGAACCGACCCACGGGGGCAATCCCTACTAAAGTGACTCATCTGACCATAACTGAAACATCCCCGAGCTATCTCTAGACATCCCCCTTCATGGATCCTCCCACACTTGGCATACTGCCCCGACCCTGATGGCCTCCAAAATATGAATCTTGAGTCTTTGGCCTCTTCGTCTGACCACTGCGATCTGAATCTACTCCGGCTTCCTCTTCCCGAGGTGATCCAAATCTATCTCCCGCTCTCGGGCTCTAGCAATCATATTATTTAGGTTCTCGCACCCTGACAAACTCAAAAACTCCCTGATACCTTACCTTCTTCATCTCCTCGTCCACTGCATACTGCGAAACTAGCAAAGCCCTTTCTCGGAACTTGGCAATGATCTCTGCCACAGTTTCAGTCTTTTGGAGAAGGTCCTGAAACTCCCTCACCAACTGCTACACCTCAATAGCTGGTGCAAAATCTACCGTAAACCGGGTCACAAACTTATCCCAAGTCATCGTCTCCAGGGCTTCGCCTCCCAAAGCAAATTTTGCCTCCTCCTACCAATCTCGAGCTATGTCTTTCAGAAGACAGGAAGCAAATCTGACCTTCGGCCCCTCGGGGCAGAAACTCGTCCGGAAAGCGTTCACCATATTCGCCAACCATATCCTGCTGTCCTTCTCCCCAAAGAACTTGGGAGCTCCACAAGCATGAAACTCACAGAAGGAAAGAGTGCGAGCTCCAACAATAGCCATAATCTCAGTGCAGAACGTGCCCAGACGCTCATCCAGAATCTCCATAATCCCCTCCTTGACCGTTCTGAAGATCACAAGAGTCTGCTCCAAAATACCGCGTGTAATCTCCGACGAGATGAACTCCTGCATCCGCTCATCAATCGACTCAGTACTGCACCTGAGCTTGAATCGGAACCTGAACCTTCTCCACGTGTGCTCATCACCATTCTAGCAAAAAATCATACAAATAATCAGAACATACCCAAGAATCCTCATGTCAGTGTTTCCGTTCAACAATGCCATTCTATTGCAAAATGGGAGGACAACACACACGATGAGAAATACCTATACGTTGAAAATATGTGTGAAGTTTATGGTAATTACCTCCCCAATCAGATTGGATAGTGCGAATTTTGGCATTCGAAAGGCGTTCAACATGATTTTGAAAATTGTAAAAGATTTTTTCAACATCTAATTTGTGTTCAATAAGATAGATCCAAGTGTAACGACTATAATCATCCAAAAAACTAACATATTATTTAAAACCACCACTAGACACTTGAGCAGGTCCCCACACATCTGTGTGAACAAGCTCAAGGGGATAAAAAGTAACAGGAAGTGACTTATTGTAAGGCAATTGATGACTTTTAGCATGATGACAAGCTTCATACACTGGAAAACATATTATCAAACGAACACCATAATTTATTTGACTTTAAGATAGACTTGACTACTGATGATGTTGGATTACCAAGACGTTGATGCCATTGAGATGAAGATGCTCTAACACTTGATGAAGCATGATGAGGAACACGGGAGGAATAACGACTGACCGACACCGGGTAAAGACCTTATTTTCTTTCACTGAATAGAAGGTTTTCTTCGTGCCCTTGCCCTTAACAAAGAAATCATCATTCTAAATTGTGATGAATACATTATTGTCAGAAACGAGTTTATAAGCAGATAGAAGATGTTTGTTAATGCTACGAACATAAAGAATATTTTTAAGATTAAGAGGTTTTCCTAAACAAGAAATTTTAGAACGACCAATATGAGAAATTTGCAAACCTGCTCCGTTAGCCACTTGGACCTGATCTTTGCCATGCTATCTCTCTTGGACAAAGGATGATCAAGATCACTAGTAAGGTAATCTGTTGCGCCAGTGTCAATGTACCAATTATGGTCATTGAAGTAGTTTCCTATAGTGACACTATTTCCTCCACAATATTCCTCAGCCTAGTAAGCATGGTTAAACCTATTTCGGTAGTTTAATGCAGTGTGACCTGGAATGCCACACACTTGACATCCAGGGCCGCCATTGCCTTTTCTACAACCGCAACTACAACCTCCACCTCGATAGTTTATGCGCTGATTATTATGAGAGGTATTGTTGTTGTAGTTTCGACATGGAGGGCCTGATTCTTGACGGGTCACATTGTTAGCGGAGGAAGTGAATTCCTTTGTGTTGTTCATTGCACTCGCTTGTGCTTCATGAGCAATCAAGTAAACTAGATTTCAGGTAGAGTCACAACATGTTGATTACTTGGACCTATGATGGTGGTAAAGAGGTCACCATGACCTGGTCCCAAACCGGCTAGGATGTAGCAAGTTACATCTCCGTCTTTCATAGGATGACCTATGTTTGCCATATTGTCAGCAAGACTTGTCATCTTGTGGTAGCACTCAGATGCAGTCATGCCTCCCTTCTTTGTAGTGGAGAGATGTGCACGTATCTGAATAGAATTACCTCGGTGTTGAGCCGAAAACATTGTGTGGATAGAAGTCCATAGCTCACTGGATGTACTTGTGTATCTCGTGAGTTGAGCGAGAACCTCTTCTGTCATAGATGGCAGGAGGCCACCAATGATTGCGAACGACCCACTTGGAATGTTGAGGGTTATCGACTTCTCTAGCTTCTACACCTGCTCTGATGGTTGTCTTGGCAACAGGGGCGACATGGTATTGTCGAGATATCCTAAAAAGTTGGACACCTCGCAAGATGGGAACAACTTGAGCTTTCCACAATAGAAAATTGGTTCAAGTTAATTTGCAAGAGATGGCGGTAGCAATCTTTGCGGAGTTGATAGTAAAAGACATGATGATGACGAATATGAAATAAGATCATATAGTCATGGATGGTGTTGATAAATCAGAACCCTAGGATGGCTCTAATACCAAGTCAAAAGATATATTTTCCGTGAACATTCTCATAGGGTTTTCATTCAGTATATATAGATTCAATACATAGATAAACATTAGATCCTAAATGTCGGGATCTTATCTCTATATAACAATACACTTATCTCTAATCTCTATATTCTCTGTTTACAAACCTAATTCAAAGAAATTTCATGAATCCCTCTGTGGATAATTTTAAGAGATGAGATAGCTTTCTTTCTGGTGTGAATGTAGCCCAATGAGTGATTTTAAGAGCTATGACGCTTTTCAAAGTGTGATTTAATGTAGTTAACTCTAAAATTTTTGCGTATAGCTGGTGACTAAAATTATATTTAATAAATTTTGTTTTGTTCCTGTATATTTTGTTCTACACACACTTTCCCAACCATATGATATATGCGTTATCAATACAAATTTAATAGATGTTTTAAAACGACAAGCATGATGCTATATGTTTTCAACATGAAGTAGGTCGGCTAACATTTGTCATTATTTTTTAAAAATTTGACTGAGAACTAATGCTGGTAATATTATTATAAAATAATAATAATAGGGATATCAATAATAATAATAATAATAATAATAATAATAATAATAATAATAATAATAATAATAGTTTATCTTATATAATAAAAGTATTAAAATTAAAATTAAACAATACATAGATGTAAACCTGTATCATTTTTTATTTAATTTAATTTTTTTAGCTTATTTATTTGACGGTTTCACATGTTCGAACTTCCAAAGAATTATGTGAGTGAAGACAGAAGTCAATGTGTTTATAGATAAATTGATAAAAATTGCAATACGTAACTTAATATGGCGTTGATGAGTCAAACCTAGCTCATTTTGATTGCTGGAAAGTCGAAAATTCCGTTGTATTCCATCTTTTTTTTTTTTTTTTGCTCCATCAATTTTTAAGAACACGTCTATATTTCTAAGAAATAATAATATTTTCTTATTTGAAAAATAACATTTAATCCGTCATGCTGTAATGCAGTCAAACAAATATATTATACTTTACAAATAAAACACACTTATTTAGAAAAAAAAAAAAAATTGCTACAAATATATTATATCGGGACCGATTATACTGCATCATAGGGTGAAAAAGTTAGAGCTACTTCAAACAGAAAACAACCAAAATTAATAAATTCCAGCCCATGATTTTGATATTTTAAATTAATAAACAAAATATATAGACAACTCAGCATCTAATATCAACAAAATTTATTTTGAGAAAATTGAAATTTATATTTAAAATTATTTTTATACATAAAAAATGTTTAGAGATTAAAACGTGTTCTGGTGATCGATGCACACATATTCATATCACAATATCAATATATATGTATCTTATGGACTTATTCATACCAAATATCTTCTCAATTCTATTATATTTTTTAAATACCGTGTGATTCAAAACTGTGACTTTCCTTTTCATAGTAGTCACATACTACGTATCCCTACAACCATTCACTATAAATACAAATCCTAACACAGCTATTTCTCAAAATACCAATAACCTTCAGACTCCTTCTAGATTTCAAATAATCATCTGAAAGTACTTTCTTTCACAAGAATTTGAAGGACTAAAAATGGCAGGTTTAAAGTTCAATTTGGCGGTGATGATGGCGCTCATGCTTGCATCGGTGCAGTTTCATGACACGACGGCTCAGACAACCCATGTGGTTGGCGACGCCTTGGGCTGGAATATTCCTCCCAACGGACCTTCTGCTTACACTACCTGGGCGTCAACTCAGACCTTCAGTGTCGGCGATGTTCTTCTCTTTAACTTCACCACCGGATTCCATAACGTCGCTGAAGTGTCTCAGGTAGCCTACGGCCCATGCACCACCACCAACCCCATCTCCATCGCCACCACCGGCCCCGCTAGAGTCACCTTGAATGCACCTGGTACACACTATTACGTCTGCACCGTTGGCACTCATTGCCAAATTGGTCAGAAGCTAACCATCAACGTTTCCGACGCGTCTGCCACCCCTGCTCCAACACCAACGCCGGCAAACGTCATTCCCACACCGGCTTCTCCACCAACCGCCACCCCTGCTCCCTCCACTACAACCCCACCACCAACCTCCTCCCCTGCCCCTTCTTCCGACGAAGCCAGCCCAATATCACCACCCACCTCCGGCCAATCTCCCACCGATAGCACCACTATACCACCACCATCACCTAGTTTTGCTCCATCTTTCACCGCCGTGGTACCCTTCACTTTCTTGGCGATCGCTTTAGCTTTCTTTTACTAGATTAGTGATTGGTGGTTACGTGAGAATTTGAGATTACACAATTCTTTTTTGTTTAAAATTCTTTTTTTTCTATGTCAATGTACTTATTAAATTGAGATTCATAATATTGCTTTATGCTATTTATATATGTGACTACATCACAATTCACAAGAGAACGAATATCACTATATGAAAATTATGTTATTGAATTTATAAATATGGTGTATATATTATTCAATTTATTATGAAGACAACATCTATATTGAATCATCAAGAAAACCATTTAATATAAAAAACAGACGTTGATTTATGATATTGGCAATAGCCTATCGACATTGGCAAGAGGCGACTTAACTGATTCAGCCCCGTGTCTGGCCTAAACTACTTAAAGAAAGGCTCGGTTAAAGAAATCAAGGTCAGTTACAACGATCAAGTTAGAAAGGCCCATTCATGGGCTCTATTAATAATCTCAATAAAAATATTATTTTGTTCATTGTTATTTTTTAACCGTCGTTAAAATAGGTCTGACCCAATTCGATTAAGGATCAGGTATGACTTTTTTAGACCAAACCTGGTAAGCCCAACATCGGTTGTTTAAATGTTTTAGATCCCAGACCAATTAAAGGTACAATGGGAGATGAACGAGGGTTTAATAGAATAAAATTGAATATAATATTGAAGAGAAAGAGGGTAAAGTTCAATAAAGATTGAATCGCATCATAGAAGTTCTTGGTGTAAAATATTAGTTTTTTTTATAAATTGAATACAAAAGATATGTTCTCTCTCCTACATGAGACTTCATTCAACTTATTTTCATTCAACCTCCATTATGGATAGCCTAATATTGTACTACTTTAGTTGGATACTTGGATATGATCATCATTTGTAGCAACGGATAGTATCCCAATGATGTTAAAAGGAATCAAATGAAACATCAATTATTCATTTTAAAAAATTATAAGATATGATATACATACACTTTAAATAAAGGAAAATAACACATATAGCCTACGAACTTTTTAGGGTTTACCCTTTTAGTCACTAATTTTTTTTATGGCTTTATGAGGGAACTAAGTTGTGGATAACCTATTCTTTTAGACTATTTACTTGGTTTAGTTTAGCTGGTTTGGATAAGAGATAGATCAAACTTGGGCCCACTGATCTCTCTCTCTCTCTCTCTCTCTCTCTCTCTCTCTCTCTCTCTCTCTCTCGCAAAACTTTTGAGCTATGATCATCGGTTACTTTGACTAGTATTTTGTTTGATCATCATCTTATGAACCCAAATAACTCAATTTTCAGTTCGATTCATGTGCTTTTTTCCAAAAGTTTGTAATCAGATTGTACAGCGTAACCCTTTGAGCATTTCTCACAAACCCACTGCTTATTATTGATGTGTTTCCTCCGAAAGTGCTTTTTGATCCCGACGAGATCTCCAAGCGTGTGGCAAGGGTCATGGTGTAACAACTGGGTTCAGGGCACACGAAAAACCTTTTCTTCACCTCCAGTGAATCCCTTTTCAACAACTTCCATGGCACCTTGTGACGCATCTGGTGCATCTGAAGATTCTGATATCACTGTAGCAGCAGCGGTGTGTTTGGTTGGTGTTTGTTTGACAAAACAGATGGACGAGGGTGGTTGGAGTGGTGTTTTGCGTCGGCAGTGGGTGGCAGCCTCCACTGCTGGGTCTTCTTGCTTCGGTCAATAGAAAAGAGGGAAGGAACAGAGGCGATGGTTGGTTGTCGGAATTCCTTAGCAGCAGCTCGGTGGTGGCTGTGGGTGGTCCTTGGTGGCTGCTAGTCACGGTCCAAGGGGAAGGGTGGAGGTTGGCGATCGATTGTTGAAACAGGAAAGGGAAGGAGGGACTTGGTGGTGCTTGTTGGAGAGGTTTGTCTTTAGATCCAAATTAAAGTATATGAGAGAGAGAGAGAGAGAGATAGATAGAGAGAGAGTTGTGGGCCCCTCTTATTATTTTTAATTATTAAAATGTAAAATATGTGAGCTGTCATACGGGTAATCGGGTTACCCCTTCGTTTTCTCAAAAAGGACGTTTTAGACCCGACACAACCAACTTCGTTCCCTTAAAAGACACAAAAATAACATTAGGGACTGAATGAGTCAACCTTAAAAAGTTTGTTGGTTATATGTGTCATTTTCCCCTTTAAATAATACCATCATTGTAGTAAAATGAGATAAGGGGGCAGTATATTTGTGCTGCTAGTGTCATTTGATCCCCGTAAATTTATCTTTCAGATACAAACGAAACATGCATAGGTTTAGTTGTTGGTGTTTGTTTCGAATAGTCTGAAGCAACTCATACTGGTGTGCAACATTAGTGGTGGTATAATGTTTGGCCAAAATATGAAAATTTTATTTGTCTATGGCATTTTTTTAATTTAGACAATTTCTCCATTTGTGTGTGTAATTCGCGCACAGAACCCTTGCTAATATTCTCTATCTTGTTTTCAATTTATTGAATGTCCCCAAAAGGGACATAAAGTCCAAGCTGTTGAGTAATATTAGGTGTGCACGAGTTGCATATTACTATAAGGAGTTGCATATCACTATAATGATTTCTTCTTTCTTACAAAGCCAATCACACATTCAAGAAGGTTGAATATTTCTTGACCTTAATTCTTTCCGTAGTTTTCCGTAGTTACGAGACAACAAAATGTTCTCGTAACAACACATGAACACACCATAAATTTTTTGATTGACAGTTGGCTTATCATTTTTCAAGCCCAAGCTACATTGTTGAATCAATTAAAGGCAATGCATATAGGATGTAAAGTGACACTTGATGCCGACATTACGAGAGCAATAAGGCAATATGTTCACAACCGTAAAGAAAAGACAAAAATAGATAGTGTCAGTATTTAAATTACGTTTTCAATGAAAAATAAATATGTTTACAATTATGGTATTTGTGTGACATGAAACAAAGTACTAAACAAAATCAAGTAATCCAAAAGTGCATATTCACATACCTCATAACTAGTTATGAACAAAATAATAAAGGGTATATAAAATCACATCACAATCTAATTTGACTATGGTCGTTTTTTAGGATTAATGGTGAACATGATGATGGATTCAACAAGAAACCAATAATGTAGGAAGGGGAGGGAGGGACTCATAAAAATAATAATAAGATGATAGAGTAAAAATGTACAATACTAGCAAACTAATCATTTTAAAAATATTTAATGAAACAAAAATAACGGGTGTGGGGACTAATAAAAAAATAACATGTAACATCAAGTTTCAGGATATTTCTAATTTTTGGATAGCGGACTGTAAATTGATCGAGCAAAGGTCTTGGAATTCTAGGGAATAAAGTTTAGACCTTATTAGATGTTGATAATGTTGGTTAAGTGAGTTAAGCCCTGAAAGTGTGAATTGGAGCCGAGGGGTAAAATGGGAAAAAGTGATATTTCGGACTCTTTGCATGATTTAATGAATTTAGTTCGGTATGTTTTAAGTCAAAAACAATTAGATAGGATTGTGGGGGTTCTTAATACCTTTGCGTGCATATAAAGATCATTAAAAACAAATTCGGAACGAAGTTATGGTTGTTTAAAGTTGGAATGAAATGGGTAAAAGCCCTTAACCACGTCATGGTGAACTGTGCGGCCCAAGCCCATAAAATTAGGGTTTGCTTCGTAATTAAAGACATTTTTTCCATGTTTTAGGTTATTTTTCAGCCTCCAACTCATCAAGACTCCTTGGAAGCAAACCTTAGCCACCCTTTTCATAGTTTGAGCTCCTCCTCTCTCTTTGAATATGTTTTGGTGCATATTTTAGGTGTTTTGGTGAAGAAAGCAAGAAAGGTTGTGCGTAGAAGCTAGAATATTATGGATCTCTACCATCTCTACTCTTCTGGACCCTTGTAAGTTCTAAAGATCATTGCTTTATTGTGTTTCATCTTTGGATCTAATAGTATTTTGAGTTTTAGTGCTTTATATGATTGTTTTGGCCCTTTTGATGGATGTGCGTTGGAGTTTAGACAAATTCATGGTTAAAGGTCAAACCTGTAAGTATTGTAGACCCATTATGGTGCTAAGATTTGGACTTCATCTTCATTATGTCACACATGGTCTTGGTGATATTTTTGGTCCATTTGAGAGTTAGGTTTAGAGTTTGGGTGAGTTTGAACAATGGGTGTGGATAAAGTTGGAAACCTTATCCATTAAGATCCTTAAAAGAATTAGATCTGAACTTTTAAACTCTAGAGGTTAAGGGTTAAGTTTTTAATCCATTAAGTTGTCTTGGACGCTCACCACGACGCGGCGAGTTGGTGGTTGTAGCGTGGTGGCGGGGTTTGGCAGCGTCTATTTTGTTTTTTGGTTACCACAACGTGACTATGTGATTGGCCACGACGTAGCGGGTCAACCGTTGACTTTAACCGTTGATGTTTTGGCCAGTTTGACTTTCGGTCATACTTTGGTAGGATTGAGTATTTGACTAAGGACTAGTCTTAGTTTGGCATTACGAAGCTCGATTTAGCTGTTATGTTAATGAGGTTGATGTTGAGCTTCTGTTGAGGTGAATCTTCTCAATATACAATGTAGGAAACTTGGTGTCATGATATGCTAGATTGTCTTTGTGAGAATTATATGAAAGACCATGGGGAACCATGACAATTGCATCAAAGACCATGGAGACCATGGCAACTGTATGAAAGAGAATGGGGGACCATGACAATTACATGGAAGATTATGGGGGGACCATAACAGGAAAGACTGTAGGGGGACAGTAGCAACGAAAGTGATTGACTATGTGTGGACCATAACATTCACATGGGTTGAAATATACACTTAGTGTGGGGCCCACTATTATGTAAGGTATCTAGTATATTGGGGAGCTCACTAAGCTTTGTGCTTACGATTTTAAGTTGAAATGTTGTAGGTCTTTTTGGCAGTACGTGAAGAGAACGACATGATTGCATCGCATTTGTTATTATGTTTTCAAGATGTTATGCATCCTAATATTAATGCTCTGATTTATGTTTTCGAAACAATTGA